CCTGATACACCACCAGCTCTAATATTCTCATCAAAAATGTTCCACCAGAATCGAATCATGAGAAGAAAGCAATCAGACACGTCTAGACTCTCAAACCTTCTAAGTCCTGGACTTGCCAAAAAATATCAGCAAAGATTGAAAGAGAATGAGGGGCAGAGGAAGGAGGTTTTTCTAGAATCAAGAAAAAGAAAATTATTTTTTTTAAATGTAAAGTGTGGTCTTGTATTGGGTCCTGGATCAAAACAGACGAAACAACAATGAGACATTTGGGGACAAGTTTGGGATTCTGAGCATTCTGGCCAACTCTGCCGTTTGCCAGGACCTGCTGTGGAAAAGCAGGTGGAGCACTCGGTAAGCATAGAGCGAGACCACATTGGCCCTTCCCCCCTTGGGCATGTATGTATACCCCATAGCGGAGCCCTAAGATGATGCAGATGGTCCTGCAGCTTGCAGTCCGGGCCTGGGAGATAGCCACAGAGGGAGAGGGGCTCAGAGCAGCGCCTTCACATCTGTAGTGGTTAATATCATGCATCCGCTCGACTAGGCTGTGGTTTCCAGCTGTTGGGTCAAACACTAGTCTAGATGCTGTTATGGAGAAAATGGAGATGTTACTATTAGTTGCTGCCTGGTGGGTTCTAAGTCATAGCGACCAAAAAAAAAACCACAACCCACTGACATCGAATATATTCTGACTGATAGTGACCCTGCTTCTGACACTGTGAATCTTTAAGGGAGCAGACTCATCTCTCTCCTATGGAATGGTTGATGGATTTGAACTGCCAGCCTCATGGTTAGCAGCTCAATGCCTAACCCACAGTGCCACCAGCACTCCTTACAAAGTGTTTCCGAGGCTGTCAATCTCCCACAGAGCAGCTGGTGGGTTTGAACTGCCACCTTTTGGTTAGTAACCCAGTACATAACCCTCAGCACTACCAGGTTCCTCCAACAGCCTTTGTTGTTGTAGTTAAGTGCCGTAGACTTGCTTCTAACTCCTAGTGACCCTGTATAGAGCTTTTGAGGCTTTAAACGTTTGCTGGAGCAGAAAGTCTCATCTTTCACCCAGGGAGTGACTGGTAAGCTCCAACTAATGTGATAGAATCCATTAGACTTTGCAGTCTGACGCATTAGCCCACAGCACCACACCAGGACTCCAAATGACTGGGTGGGACCATGCAAATATGGTATTTGTTGTTGTTAAATACCACGGAGTTGGTTCCTACTCATAGCAACCCTGCACAGGGTTTTTGAGGCTGTAAATCTTTACGGGAGCAGAAAGCCTCATCTTTCTCCGGTGGAACAGCTGGTAGTTTCGAACTGCCAACCTTGAGGTTAGCAGCCGGATTTCTAACCACAAGACTCTAAAGCCACTATGGGGCTGGTTGGTTTTTCCCTCCAGCTAGGTTTAAAAGGAGCCATCTCATCTCAGAAGCAGAGAAGGAAGAGCCCAGGACCATCAAGAAGGAAGCGCATAAAATCCCTACCTAGAGAAACAGCGAGAGCCGAGGCGAGGACATGGGGAGACAGCAGCTTTGGGCTCCAGGCCCATGGACTGAGTAAAGCTGAGTACCTATGGGCAGGAGGTTGTCTGTGAGAAGGTGCCCTTTGGGCATTCACAGACTGGCTAAAAGAACTTTATAGCACTTGCTAGAGGAGGACAGGGGCCAAATGACCACAGAGCTGAGAGGCCAAAGACAAGTGTGAGGCGTACCTGGAGTCTGGCAGACACCAGGCATTCCTGACTGGAGAACTGCTGCATCCTGCGTTGATTTTGATCCTGGATTGTACCCTGTTCCTTCCTTAATAAAGCCCATAATTGTGAGTATTGCTCTGTGTGGCCATTGGGTTATCAACCCCAGATGTGAAGCAGAGAGCATTGTGGGAGGTACAGTTGGTGTCAGAATAGGATAAAGAAGGTTGTAGGGTGGAGGTATGTCTGACCTCTGCTTCATAGGAATCAGCCTTTGATTTTCTTTCCCCCTTGGGAAGTCAGACATGGTCCTACATGGTTATTCCAGAGACCTTATCCCCTAGGCCACATGATAACATGCTTGGAACAGCATTGGCAAGCGGTAAAAACTCACATACATCAGCTGTGATTAAAATGAAAATGATTCTCAGCCCTGTCCCTGAGCCCCACTCTTTCTGTTCACTGCGTGGCAACCCTTTATTCATTCGGCAAGTGTTAGCTTAGTCCTTACTTCCTCAGGGAGACCCTTCTCATCCCCAGGCCAGCATGGGGGGGGGGTTCCTCGTCCCAGAGCCTGTGGCACAGTTAAAGGCCCTATCAGAACCGAAGTGAGAAGGGACTACCACAATTCCACAAATGTCTCAGGGGCAGGGACAAGGTCTCTATCACTGTATCCACAGCACCAAGCACTCACTAGACATTTGATGAAGCACTAATGAGTGGAAGCAATGTTATCCACCTCTCAATCCTGGGGAAATCACTAAACGCTTCTCAGCTGGACAATTTGGACAACAAAGGCCTTTCCTGAGGAGAATCCTGGGTGATGATTGATTTGGTAATTTGTGCACAGACAGAATGTTTGCTGGACCTGCTCCCCTTGTTCAATCTGGTTTCTGTGGTGAACTATACAGGTCTGCAGGTACTTACAGAAGGCACGGCAGGGCAGGAGCTGACCCACAGAGGAACATGCTCTGTGGTCGTGCCCCATCATCCCCACTCCCCTTGGGCATGTGTGTGCATCCCACAGCAGCACCCAAAAAAGAAAAATAAGGCAAAGCAGAGCCGTCCACAGTCCACAGCCTGGACTTGAGGGAGATGGACTCAAGAGATGTGCCTGCACATTGGTAATGGCTCATTTTATGTGTCCGCTTGACTAGGCTATGGTTAAACACTCGTCTAGATTTTGTTCTGGAGTAATTACATGGGCTGAGATCAGTGACTTTAAGCAAAATGGATTGTCCTCCTGTAATGTCATGTCAATGCGTTAATGCCATGTCAATGTCATGTCAATGAGCCAATTTCATGTTGGTGTGTGTCGATGTCATGTCAATGCGTCAATGTCATGTCAAAGTCCTGTCAATGTCATGTAATACAATGTATTACATCTAAGGTAATGTAATACAATCAACTTCTATAACATAATCTAATATAACATCATCATTCCATTGACGTTCTTAAGAGCAAAAAGGGAGTTTCCCTGGGTGTGTTCTATTTCCAGACTATATAAAGGGGCTTCAAAATTTTGTGGAAAAAAATGGAATTAAACAATAATGGCACTATTCCATGAATTCTTTGAAGGCCCCTCATAAGTATTTTGACAGAATTCTCACCTGACTCCTCTGTGGCCTGAGCTGAGGAGCCTGAGACTCAAGTCTGCAGTATTCTCCAGCCTGTCACCTTGTCATCTGTTGATCGGATTTTGGACCTGCGTGATCCCTGTAATCCTCCACAATGATGTGCCACGTGGGTATTCCATATATATATATATATTGCTGTTGTTATGTGTCGTGGAGTCGGTTCCGACTCATAGCGACCCTGTACAGGGTTTCCGAGGCTGCGGGAGAAAAGCCTCATCTTTCTCCCTCAGAACAGCTGGTAGTTTCGAACTGCTGACCTTGCGGTTCGCAGCCCGATACGTAACCACTACGCTACCAGAGCGCTCTCTCTCTCTCTCTCTCTCTCTCTCTCTCTCTCTCTCTCTCTCTCTCTCTATATATATATATATATATATATATATATGATTATGTGCATATATGTATTGTATGTGTATGTGTGTATTTACATGTATATCTGTGTGTTTATCTATGGGTATATATGTGTGCCTATGTATTTTGTGGTGTGTTGTTGAGTCAGTTTTGACTCTCAGCAACCCCGTATAGGAAGGAGCTCTGGTAGCGTAGTGGTTACGAATCGGGCTGCGAACCTTAAGGTCAGCGGTTCGAAACTACCAGCCGCTCCGCGGGAGAAAGATGAGGCTTTCTACTCCCGTAAGGATTTACACCCTCGGAAACCCTGTACAGGGTCGCTATGGGTCGGAACCGACTCAACGGCACTTAACAACAACAACAACCCCGTATAGGGTTTCCGAAGGCTACAAATCTTTATGGGAACAGAAAGCCTCATCTTTCTTCTAAGGAGAAGCTGGTGGATTTGAACTGCTGACTTTGTGGTTAGCAGCCAAACATGCAACTCACCACACCACCAAGAGTGTATATATATGCTTGTGCATGTACATGTGTATGGGAGTATATGTGTGTACGTATGTGTTATTATGTGTTATGGGTATATGTTTGCGTTTATGTTTGTGTATATATATATATATATATATATATATATATATATGTTTGTGTATATATTTATTTATTGTGCATATGTGCACATGTGTATGTACATATGAGTTATGTGTATACACACACGTACACATTTGTAACACCCCAGGACTCCTTCCGTGTGTGTGTATACTTATATGCACGTGTGTACATATGTGTATATTTGTGTGTATTGTGTACTTGTACACACATAAAAAAATTCGCATCACTCCGGGACTCCTTCTTTGTGTGTTTATGTGCATATTTATACATATGTGTGTATACATGTGCACTTATGTATATGTGTATGTGTGGGGGTGTACCTGCATGTGTGTGTGCACATATACATACATGTTTGCAGCAACTGGGACTCCTTCTTTGTGTGTATACTTACGTGCTTATGCGTAAATGTTTGTTGTGTATATGTCTCTGTGTGTACATGTGTATGTATACATGTGTATGGGCGTGTATACAGACACATACTTGTGGTATCCTGGGTGTCCATCTTTGTGTGTGTGTACATTTTTATTTGCATGTGTGCATATGTGTACATGTACACACACATGTATTTGCACACCCCGGCACCCCTCCTTTGTGTGTATGTGTGTGTGTTTATGTGTGTATGTGTACATGTACAAACAGATTTGCGGCACCCCAGAGAGCACCTTAGGGCGACATCTGCAGCAGACCCGCCCAGGCCATCCCTGCCCGGAGTGTCCACTCACCCAGAAGTTTCTGCAGCACCTGCCCATCATACAGGTCCTCATCCAGCTGTTTCACGATGATCCTCTCCTCTGCCAGGACATCGTTGATCCAGTCAATGAGGACCTGAGGAGAGACAAGCGTCACGCTCTGCCCTGGGCACCGTGCCAACCAGGCAGAACCAGAGGGAGTGCAGGCACTGACCCCGCATGACGGGAGACTTCTCCTGACCTGTGCTGCTCCGTTTCCCCACCAGGGGCAGTGGGCATGGCTGCAGCAGTGAACTCAGGCCTTTTCCCACACAGGGACTTGGATAAGGTGAGGGGAGTAGATGTTGTTACTGGGTGCCATCAAGTCACTCCCAACTCAAAATGACCCCAGGGTTTTCTAGACTCTAACCTTCTGGGGGAGGAGATCACCAGGCTTTTCTACCACGGGGCAATGGATGGGTTCAAACCACCAATCTTTCAGTTAACAGCCTAGTGCTTCATCAATGTGCCACCAGGGCTGCTTTCAGTAAGTTGTTGTTGTTGTTGTTGGGTTACTATTGAGTTGATTCCAACCCCATGTGACAGAGTAGAACGTCCCCCGTAGGATTTTCTGGGCTGTCAACTTTATGGGATCATAACACCAGAGCTTTCTCCCTTGGAGCCACTGGAAGGATGGGTTTGAACCGCTAACCTTTCCATTAGCAGTAAGTGCTTAACTGTTGTACAACCAGGGCTTCATGAGGGAACAGGAATAGGGATGGTAACACCTGCCTCCTTGTGTTCCTGGAGGAGAGAGGGACCAGAGTCTGGCTGTACCAGGGACCCACGAGTATCCAGCACAAGTCGCAAACCACATCAACAAGCTGCCACGGCTCCCTCGCTGCCATTAGCCCTGCCTGGCCCCTTCCTGGCCCCTGGGAGCTCTAACAGGACAGACCTGAGGCTCAGATCCTGAGCTTGGGCTCCAAACTGTCACCACCCTCACTGATCCCCGCCACCTTGACCACTGTCCGATTTTACAGATGAGAAAGGGCATCCCGAGCACTCTGTGGATCCACATCAGAACCTCTGGCCTGAGTTCCACTCCTTGAAGCAGAAACCCACTCACTGAAATCCCAAGAGAATTGGCCAGCTTCCCTCATTCTAGAAGCTTTGTTGAGATATAATTTAATACCATGCAATCCACCCATTAAAAGTCTACAAACTGGTGGCATTTAGCACCTTCACAGGAGCATGTACCACTGGGCGGGTTCAAATCACCAACCTTTAAGCTAATGTTATTTCTGACTCATAGGGTTTCTGAGGACCAGCTGGTGGATCTGAACCACTGACCTTTTGATCCAAACCAACATTGCAGTCTAGCACTTAACCTACAGCGCCACACTAGGAGTTCTTTAAGTCTAATACAAACCATTTGAGCCACCAGGACCCCTAGGGAATCCATCTAATTCCAAGGACCGATTACCAGTCACTCCATGCCCCTCCAGCCCCTGACAACCACTCATCCACAATCTGTTCCTTTGGACTCTCCCATTCTGTACATTTCAGATCACTGAAAATGACAAGCATTGTATGAGCCTTCTTTTCCTCAGCACACTGATTCCAAGCTTCATCCATGTCCTAACACTTATCAGAACTTCTTCATTTTTATTAGTGGAATACTATTCCATGGTGTGAAGGTTCCACAATTTACTGATCCATTCATCAGCTGGTGGGCACTGAGATGGTTTCCAATTGTGGGTAATAATGAGTAGTGTTTCAATGAACACTTCTGTGCACATTTGTGTGTGTATGTGTGCACAAATATTTTCATTCTGTAGGCCAGCCTCCTCCGGAAGTCCTGCCCCAAGGGTTTTCTGTTCCACTCACTGGATGATACCTTTTACACAAAAATAGTATAAATTGTGGACAAACTCGCGGAAAACAGGATGTCCACTGAGCAGAATTCTCTCTGGCCCACCCTTCCTACTCCACAGCAAACCACTGACCCTTCAACCAGCTGAGTCTGTGAGGCGGAGACTGGGAATATTTTTGCTAGCAGAACAAGTCACATGATCTAACTAGTCCCAATAACCTCTTGAAGATGGAAGTTTATTGCCCTTTCAGAGATGAATGGATGGGCACACCTCAGGAATATATTGTTCTCTGCCGCTCGCTGCAAATGCTACAACTGGCAAAATTGGCCACAGAGCAAATTTTCCGTGAAGTATATTCTATTTCCCAACTGACTCAAAAATATGAACTGAGACTCACAATCCTATGAAGAAGAGAAGTGAAAATAAATTGAAGGGCAGTTTCAAGGAAGAAAGAGGTGAGCAGCCTCAGGGCACGCCATTTTTGTAAAAAAAAAAAACACCAAAAAACCACCCCCCCAAGAAAGACAGGGAGCCAGTAGAACAGTACCCCAACTCTACCTCGTCCCTGAGAGCTGGAGCCACGTGGAGAGAAGAGGGACCTCCTCCTTCCAGGACATGCCGTGTTCTTCCTCCCCACAGACACCATGTGTGCCTTATTTCCTACCCCCTTTGTACCCATCAAACCTCCAGTTTTCTCCGGGGGCTCCTCTTTACCCTCACATTTAAAAGGCAACTTCCTGAGGCCCGGGGACAACTCCTGGCTTCACCTCTTCTAACCCAAGGCCAGTTCATACCCATCCACATCATCCAACACCGTCTCTATTCCAGAAACCCCTAAACATACGCCCAACCTCCACACAATCCTTCTGCGTGGGGACTCCATGAGCATCCCATGAGCTCAATTCCCCCAAACCTGCTCCTTTTCCAACAGGACCACCACCCACCAGTGCGATGAGCCTGGACTTCATCCCCTCAGCCCACTTCTTGATGGGAATGGGGCCCATGCCTCTCTATGTCCTCTTCCTCCACCATCATATAAAACCATGATCACTGACTGAGCCACTGGCTTCACAGCCCCACAGGGCAGCCTGCCTCCTCAGTGGTGTTCAGGGAGCTCCTCTCTGCCTCAGGGCCTTTGAACGTGCTGTTCCCTCTGTCCAGAGCACATCCCCCGCCCTCTCTGCTGGCCAGCTACCACCCGCCTTTCAAACTTCAATTTCCCTTCATCCTCTGACCATTCTACCTCACTCAGACCACACCCTAATCACATCTCTCACCATATCACGTTCATAATGAGGCACCTACCACACGTCAGAAGTCCCTGAGGGACACACACAGTTAAGCGCTGGACTACTAGTCACAAGGTTGATGGTTCAAACACACCCAGAGGCACCTTGGAAGACAGCCTTGAAAAACTTTTGCTGCACAGCTCTACTCTGCACACAAGGGGGCGCCATGAGCGGGAACAGACTCCATGACAGCAAACAAGAAGAGCGATTGGCTCTCTGAGGACAAGAACTAGGACTGTGTTGTTTGGGGTCCTGCCCCCGGCACCCACTACTCATGCCCAGGCTATGGAACTCAGCAAGTACGTATGACATGAATGAATCGCCTTGCTGAGCACCCACTGTCCACCGTGGGTCAGGCCCACAAGAATAAATACGGCAGCCAAGCCTCGGGACCCTGAGAACTTAGAACCAGTGTTACCACAAGGTCGGCTGTTCAAACCCACCAGCTGCTCCCAGGAAACCCTATACAGGGTCGCTATGAGTCGGGACTGACTCGATGGTACTGAACAGCAATAACAAACAGAGAAATACAACCAGGAAGAAATGAAGGTTGATTACTACAAGCTCGGGCAAGGGCCTCACTGTCAAAGCTAAGAGGGGGTGACTCATGCTGATACCATGCTATGCTGTGGTCTTCTCGTAAACCCATAAATCCCAAAGGACTTTGGTGTGGTACTGTAAGGTCAGCGTTGGACTGTGAACCACAAGGTCTGCAGTTCAAAACCACCAGCTGCTCCTCGGATACCCTACACAGGGTCACTATAAGTTGGAATCGACTCCATGGCACTTTAACAACAACAATCATGAGAAAAACACCCAAGTTCCAACAAAGGAATTCCAATTGTCCAGAAAGACACATTATAATAGAGGGGTGTCCTGCCTCAGGGCTGCCCAGGACAGTCTGAGAAGCTGTCACAGCTGGGAGTGCCAAAGGAGGTGGCATGTGACCTTCTGTCCTCCCAGCAAGCCCTGCTGACCACCTGCAGACCCTCTACTCAAGCACCTTTCCCTCCCCCTGACCACTCAGTCTTCACGGAGCTCTCTCCCACTGAGCCTCACTGGGTCCCCCTGGCTGCCCCACATCTTACAGCTGCCATTGGGAGCTGACCTTTCACCCCCAGTCAGGCAGAGAGTTCCCTGAGGACTGGGATGGTGCCTGCCTTCCCCTCCCCTGACAGCACAGTGAAGCAGCCCAAGATGCCATACACCTGTCCCCCAAAGTCTGCTATCATAGTAAGGAACTGGCTTTAAAACAGAGTGACAGGTAAAACTCAGAAATGTCACCCCAGAGCGAATCCCTTTACCATCAAGTCAATGCTGACCAAGACAAGAATTGTCCCATAGGGAGCACACAGCCTCGTCTTTCCCCCGAGGAGCAGCTGGTGGGTTCAAACCACTCACCCTTCAGTTAGCAGCTGAGCTGGCTCTTATTGAGGTGGTTCTGACTCAACAACGCCATATAGGGTTTCTAAGGAGCAGTTGGTGGGTTTGAACCATAGACCTTGCAATTAGTAGTTAGCAGTCCTGTGCTTATCCTACAGCACCACACGAGGACTCCAAATCTTATATTGTTTTTGTTGTTAAGTGTTGTCAAGTCAGTTCTGACTCATAGCAACCCTGTAGCGTAGTGGTTACGAATCGGGCTGCTAATCTCACAGTCAGCAGTTCAAGACTACCAGTCGTTCCGCGGGAGAAAGATGAGGCTTTCTGCTCCTGTAAAGATTTACAGCCTTGGAAAGCCTATGCAGGGTCGCTATGGGTCAGCATTGACTCCATGGCACATAACCACCACAACAATTGGGTTTCTGAGGAAGCACTGGTGGGTTTGAACCACCAACCCTGCAGTTGGTAGTCCAGTGCTGATCTTACAGCACCACACTAGGAGTCCTGTGTTTGTTGTGTTGTTGTTGTTGTTGTTAAGTGCCACCAAGTCAGTTATGACCCATAGCCACCCTGTATAGGGTTTCCAAGGAGCGGCTGGTGCACTTGAA